GCCGAGCCGAGTTTTAGTAGCTGTCGATGTGCGTTTTGCACAGTGAAAAAAGTCCTGAGATGTCTCTGCTCCTTTCGTCTTAATTTTATATCGCGAATTCACAAAATACTTCGCCCGCTGTACAATCCCACAGTGCCTGAAAAAAGCTGCAGTACATTTTAACTTTTGCCGGGAAAACTTTGCCAGAATCCCGAGTTAGCAATAGCAGTCTTGAATCCGATGAGGCAGTGAGTGCATGATTTTCGGAGAGTCATTCGAACGGACGGTACCCTGGAAAACAGGTTAGGGTCCGAGTTGCGAGCACTGTATGGGATTTTTATGTGGTCAGCAGTTGGGCGACTCTCAGTTGGGTGTGCGGTGGTCCGAGGAGCGATTGTCGGAGGGAGTGCTTAGTTCCTGGAGGTCTGGACTGGAGAGGTACAGTGCGGTTTTGGGAGGACACAAGTGCCTGAAATAGATTATTTACCCGCTATGAATGCTAAAGCGACAAGCGACTCGAAGTAGTTACCCACTAAAAATTGATACAACGAGTCTATAGTGCATTTTGAAAGTTAGCACCACAAACGGGGCCAGGGCATCTTGATCATTTTGAGGGGTAATTGTCCAGGACAACTCGAAAGGCTTTTTCGACTTTTTGACCATTTTGCGAAATAACTGTGTAGGAGAAAATTACCTTTAAATGCTGTTAGGTCCTTATGGTACCGTTGATGCTCTGAACACTCGTAGGCCTTTTTTCCAGTTGTGCCTGATTGTTGGTGATTTTGTTACTTACAGACGAAGAGAGCAAATATTTCTAGGCACATCCTCATGCTATGCTTTACCGGCGCTTTTACCAAAACTCCTCTTACGTGCAACCATGCAAATGAAACATTTTTTTTGATAGATTTTCTGGATTTTGCCTGTATGCGATCGCATCTCCCGCTGTAATGCATTTAGGTCCAAGCGCATTCACCTCTAACATCTGCTTTCTGTGCCCAAACGAAGAGCTTTTACAGCGCTGCGCACATCCCAATAATTCGACGCTTAAAAGCGTTTTTCTTAAAAGCATACAGTGATCCTGTAAATATTCTATGGATACTGGTTCAGCAGAGAGGCGTGAGTCAGCACCGAGGGATTCTTTTCTCCGTAAACAGCAGTCCCTCTCCTCCCCCCTACCCCCTTCCCGTGCCCTTTCCCCCGATACATAAAGCGTTCTTCCATTTTTCTTAACTTCCTGCGATTCATCTGTGGGAGCCAGTGACAGAAGTTATGATTACTAGATGCGTACAAGTTAAAACGCTGCCCATGAAAAAGCAAACGCAAAGAATTACTGCTAAAATACACTGACTTTAGTACCTAACCTGACGGGTTTTCCCGAAGCCGACTCACCTCTGGCAGTAACAAATTCCGCAAGTCAGCATTGTCGCAGTTACACAGATGGGAGACTTGTTCGTATAGCTCTTTTCCAAGCACTGTCATGCCGAATCTCCCCTGGCCCATGTGCAAAAGCACTTCCGAATCAGGCCTATATTTGCAAGGCCACTCGCAAATCCCATCTCGTCCTGCAAAATCCCGAATTTGCTCCCAGCAGCATTCTTTCCGCCACCAGCACAGGGCCCTTTTTAGCTTACTCACCTTTTTTTGCTGTGATGCTTTAACTAACTTGCGTTTCATCGTCGCGTTTCTGCTTGCTATCGACGCACATGCCATCCTTAATTGGCACAAGCCAGAGCTGCTTCTCATTAGTAGCTTTTTTGTTCCTCTCCATTTTGGACCTCTCTCATTCACATAATTCCATTTAGGCGTTCAAACGGGTCCCTTAACTGCATCGGTGGTCTTATGATGTGGGCACCATCATAGGGCGTTTAATGTTGCGTGGGTACCACTCAAAAATCTGCTTTGCCAATTTCTTGCCTGTGTTTTTTCTGTCGTACATTGCTTCGCTGACATCACGCAGAACGAAACCACCTTGCATGCTGGAGGTGTGTTGCCTTGTGCTGACACTTTTTTTATCTTCTGAGTCGTTGTCAGCTTTTTAGCAAATGTGGTATTTCCACTTCCGCTTCCGTACAACAGGGTGGATTACACAGCTGAATTGAAAGGTGTCGCTTTCGCTGTCGATCTCTGTTAGTCTTTGGAACAAAATCTCAGAATATGATGGCGCTTTCCACCTCAGTTTTTTTCAGGGCTTAAACCGTTATTCATTTTTCTCAAGACTTGCAACTGTTCAGAGAAACTGACTGTCGAATCTCACATCTTTCATCCACATGGTTTTCACTCAAACAGATTTTGGGAGCTCACTTTTATTGGCATTATTCAACTAATGCTGTAACAGTTGTGATTTTTTTAGCAGTAAGCAAGAGATTTTTTTTTTTTTTTTTGGGAGGAGGGGGAAGAAAGCGTTCGAGTTACTTCACTTTCAGTACAGAATTCCTTGATTTTTGATATCCCGTACGATGTTTATTCCACTTACTCTCACGATTTCGAAGCAAAGTGAATTATGCTTGTCAAAAAAAATTTTTTTTTGCCATACAAGAATCTGTTCTGCGGTTAGAACGCTTTTGCGCATGTATTATGTCTAGTTAAATTTACTTTCTCGCGGGTATCAATAGTTTTCACCTACTGTCAACTAGCTATCAGCAAAGCGAGTGACAAGCCCTTCTTATCGAATATATCTCCATAAAGAGCAAGCATCTTTCGCTTCATCGTTTTCGTTGCAGCAATTGCTCGCTCTTCAACTTTCGTCAGTGACCACATTTCGCGTCCGGTTACGAAAAAAAATACATCAATTGGCTAACACATTTCGCCGCTTCGCAGTTTCTTTTTTGTTTTGGAAAAGTATGAGGGGAGAAAGCATCAGAGGGTGCAGGACAGTAATGTGTGTGGGTGCGTTCTTTCCCAAAAGATAGCGCTGTTAAAGCTTTATTTCAGCGCTTGTTTTGCAAAATCTCTTTTTTTTTTGTTCCATGTAAAAAGATGTGGAAGCTGAGGCTATGCTGAATTTCGTTGCTTTATTTTGGATTTGTACTGCATATATCTGATGAGCCAATAATGTTTTGAACTGAGGGATGCGTCTGGGTTGTCCAGAGGCAAGCTGTTTTTTTCAGAATAAGAGTGTAAATTTCTCAAGAAAATCTAAGTTTTTGGCTCTTTTTCCTACCACTAAAAGCTTTGTAGAACCTTCTGCGTTTGATGAATTACAGAATGGTGCAGTTTCAGGAGCAAGATAAATCAGCGATTCGTGATAAGTTCTGTAGGCTCCCGCCCTAGTTTAATCAATACATTATCAGAAACGGGGAGCCAATTTTTATCTTGCTGCTAGCCTAAGAGCACCGTAATTTAGGTGCAGATGAAAATTCCCTTATTTTGTAACGGGCTGAGCGATTTCCATGCGCATATTTTAGTCCTGGTTTTTTCCCATAGATGAATAACTGGAGATTATGAATGCGATTTTGTTGCTTTTGCAATTTTGACATGAAAAATGCTAAGCGTGCGAAATGTTTTAGCCGCGTAGGGGTTGGACTGCGAGCCGGCCAGCCAGTTGCTGCAAATCTATGTTGTTGTGGCGCCATATCGTTTAGCGAACGGTTTCGTGGATCTGGTGTATGCACGCTGGCGACTAGCAAGATCAATAGCCGACTTGATCGGCTGCTTCCGGAATATTTGCGAGAAACGGTTGAATGGATAACGAGGTAAGTTTTTGCGTCTGCGTCAAACTGATAGATGTGATGTGTTGTGTTGCCATTTGAAGAACTGCACAGTGCTGCTGCTTCTGCTCTTATCAGTTGCTGATAATAACACGTTGATGATACGCCTCACTGTTTATTTCGTAGCATTTTGCAGTGCGTTTGTTGTGTGCTGGTGGCAAAGCCTCGACATACACCTTTTCACAAAATGCTTAGTTCTTTGAAAAAGAACTTGTTGATTTTATAGAACGATTACGTTTGCCTGAAACTGGTGGCTTATCAGGACGCCTTAGCTTTGCATGAAACGGTGCTTCCAGAATGCTTTCTGTTTGCTTTTTCTGTTTTTCTTCCTAATGCATGCATCTTTACATTGTGTGAAATCGTTTGGTATAAAGTCATTCTAATTCACTGCACCGGCGAATAAGGAGTCGCATCCTCACCCTTTTTTATGCGTTTTTGCCGTGCAGCGCTAGAACGCTGCAACAGTCAGCAAAAACGCATATTGAAACGACTCTATCAATGTGTGTGTATGTGTGTGCGTTTGTGTGTGTGTGTGTGTGTGTGTTCGGGTATTTCAACTAGCCAACCACGCAAGCTTTGAAGCTGAAATTTTGCCAATATGTTCCCCAGCCAAGTGCCACCCTAGGACCGCGGTATCAACTCTCACGCACGTCTGGACCCCGCGTACGAGCACGTGAAAGTTTTGGCGAGAAAATCGATAACTCGAGAACGAGAAAAGCTAGAATGCTGAAACCATAGGGTGATGTTCCCTACTCGTGTATAACAAAAAGATTTCAAATTCAGCTGACCAGGATCGCCCGGGACTTGCGTACGGGCACGTGAAAATTAAGGCGGGAAAATTCATAACTCGGGAATGAGAAAAGTTAGAAAGTTGAAACTTTGGGGAGTATTCCCTACTCACGCACGACCAAAAGTTTTCAAACTCAGCCCCTTAGGACTGCCCGGGGCTCACGTACGGGCACGTGGAAATTTTGGCGCGAAAATTACTAGCTCATAAGCGGGAAAAGCTAGAAAGCTGAGACTTTATGGTAATGTTACCTACTCATGTACCAGCAAAATCAGGTGTTTAGAAGCACTCGGGCCTATGCACGAGCGTGTGAAGATTTTGGCGCGAAAATTACTATCCCGGAAACGGGAAAAGCTAGGAAGCTGAAAGTTTCGAAGAATGTTTCCTACTCATGTACGAGCAAAATCAGATGTTTAGAAGCGCCCGGGGCCCACGTACGGGCATGTAGAAATTTTGGCGCGAAAATTACTTGCCCGGGAACGGGAAAAGCTAGGAAGCTGAAACTTCGGGGAATGATTCCTACCCATGTACAACCAAAATCTGGCATTTAAAAGCACACGGGGCCCACGTACGGGCACGTGGAAGCTTCGGCGCGGAAATCACTAACTCGGGAACGAAAAAAGCTTGGAAGCTA